CCAAGTATGAGCTCGGGAGCGGAGGTCAGACGCACAGAGCTCATAAAATCAAAGTAAAGCCCAGCCCAATCGAAGCAGGAGCGGAAGTAATAAAGAGATAGCTATTTGTCAACATAAACCCTAGAGACAACAAAGTGTCATAATCAAAGCATAAAACTCTCATCCAGGAAAGATCTCCTCCTAAGATCAAGAAGAATTCCCCGGATAAATAGCAAAGATCTCGGGGCGGATCCTGCAGAATTAGGAAAAGCCCTATAAATACTATGTAACGCCCCCAGCAGAGGGGCAGAACCCTGATATCACATCTTACATTCTATAAACCTTTTGGTATAATAAATAGTGAAGGAAGGAGCAAGAATCTCCATTGAAAAATGAATTAGCTGAGCTGGTGAACCACTATATTTCTACTGTGTTAATTTTTCAACTCCCCAACAATTCTCAGGATCATTCCCTCGAGTTTAGTAGCTCAGATCCCAATAATTTTAATATTATTTCTTTCATTTACTCGTCATCACAAAATTGCATCACATTGAAATACACCATCAATTTGGCGTCGTTTGTGGGAAATGACTGTTCCTGTTATAAATAAACTGATCTTTTAGTGACTGACGGTATCAACGCGAAACATGAGCCGAAGCCAAACAAATCCACCACGGATGCAAGATCAACAAGAAACTACTAATAGCAGACAACATGAGAACGTCCAAGAGACCAATCCACCCGTGGGGGGTCTCCCCATGAATAACGAGATGGAGGCCCTTCGCCTTGTCAATCAACGCTTGCTAAAACAAAATGAAGAACTGTTAAAGCTCTTACAACGTCCACAGGATGCACGACAGACTCAAGAAGACCAGAACAACCTCCCACCTAGGGAGCAACCACACCTTGAACCCCTCAGAGAAATTAACGAAAAAGGGGAAAATAGCCAAATCATGGGGCCAGAACCTCGCATACCCCCTAGGAATGGCCACAACGAGGAAGGACATAGTCAGAACGAAGAAGGTGAGAGAAACAATTTTTTCCCCTATCAACAGGAAAGGAGAGAACGGTACTGGGAGCAAAGCTTCCAGGGTATCCAACAAGAACTCAACCACATGAAGGAAGCTGTGAGAGGCAAGGCTCCAGTTACGATGGATGCCTAGGTACAACAGACTGAATCTCCATTCACCACTAGCGTGCTGCATTTTCCCCTCCCTTTGAAATTCAGAGTACCACAGATAGAGGCTTTTGATGGAACAAAGAATTCCGTAGATCACCTCAACACTTACAAGAATCAGATGGAGTTGTATGGATACCAGGATCCAGTGCGCTATAGAGCCTTTGCCATCACGCTGAAAGGCTTAGCCCTAGCGTGGTTCAATAGGCTCCCCTACCTCAATTTCCTCCTTTAAGGAGCTATCCATATCCTTTGTATCTCACTTCATAGGAGTTCGAATGTACAAAAAGCCGAGTTACCACCTGTTGAATGTGAAACAGGGACCCCAAGAGAACCTCAGATCCTATGTTTAGAGGTTCAACTCTGAATCACTAAAAGTGGATGTCCCAGATGAGAAATTTGCCATTGCTGCATTCATAGATGGTTTAGGCGAACAATCTAAAGACCTGATGTTCTCTATTTTGAAAAATTTCCAGGCCAGCATGGCCAAAGTACTGGCCAAGGCAGAAAAGTACATAAACGGAAAATAAGCTCTCCTCTCAAAAGTGGGGAGCTCATCCATGCAAAAAGACAAAGGAAAAGAAGAGAAAAAGAGGGACCAAAGTCCAAGAAGAGAAAGAGGACGAGATAGGTCCCCAAGGAGAGACAGAGATCGATCCCCCAAAAGAAGGGGTGACGTCAGAGATCACTTGGGACCACCTCATCTAGAGTTGCAGCTGAGGTAAGCACCTCGGTAGGTCCCTCCACTCATCGCAACAATATCAAAAATCTTGTAATGAGGTATAAAACAAAAAATTCTTGAGGTGGCCACCCCAGATGAAAGTAGACCCGGCGAAAATTTTACCCCACTCTTGGAATGCAAAACATCTTAGAAATTTTTTTAGTAAGTTTGTCCTGTAATATGATTATTAATAAAGCAGCAAGTATGTGGTTCATTCACTCTTATGAAGAGCTTGGGAGCTCACGACGAACTCGTTAATCTGTAATAAGAGCCTTAGAGCTCACGATGAACTCGTTAGTTCATAAAAAGAGCCCGGGAGCTCACGACGAACTCATTAATCCGTAATAAGAGCCTTAGAGCTCACGATGAACTCGTTAGTTCATAAAAAGAGCCCTAGAGCTCAAGACGAACTCATTAGTCAATAATAAGAGCCTTAGAGCTCACGATGAACTCGTTAGTTCATAAAAAGAGCCCTAAAGCTCATGACGAACTCGTTAATTCCTAAAAAGAGCCCTGGAGCTCACGACGAACTCCTTAGTCCGTAATAAGAGCCTTAGAGCTCACGATGAACTCGTTAGTTCATAAAAAAAGCCCTGGAGCTCACGTTGAACTTATCAGTCCATAAAAATAGCTCAGTAGCTCAGGACGAGTTCTTCTGTCCCTAAAGCAAACGCAGCAGCTTAGAATGCGCTTCCCAGTCCAGAAGAACTAAAAGCAAGACCTACAACACGTAGACTAGAAGGAAAGCTTCACAGCTTCTATCCATTACAAAAAGGAAAAATGGGGGTCTTTGGTCCACAAGCCAGGAAACGACATGGAAGATCAGCTGCCAGATTCTCAAAGCCACAAATTCTGTATAAGAAGTGGCAAACATGGAAAGGGAAAATCAAGGTTTCAAGAACATCAAAGATTACAAAAAAACCAATCAAAGCAAAATTCCTAGTCGTCTCTGCAGTTCGGCTATCCTCTCTTTCAAACGCAGGTTCTCCTCCTTCAGCTTATCCCTTTCATTCTCAGTCGTTGACAGTAGATCCATCAATTTTTGTCCAGCAGAGGAAAACATAACTTCCCCTAGGAAAGATCTGGATAAAGGAAAGGATGAACCATCCCTCTTGCGTTTCTTGATATGAGTCCCAACATCCTTGCTCTCATCAGACCCGGTAAAGATAGATCAGATTCAGGAAAAAAATGAAAAGTCCTATTTAGCTGCAGCGGCGCTAAACAAAAATAGATTATCTGGCGTCATGAGATTAGGAAAAGACATGGGCTCAGCTTAGATCATTTGTTCCACCCTCATCAATTCAAGCAAGTTCAGGTCAGGAGCACCTATATGCAAAAAAAAAAAAAAAAATTCCCATGCAAACTTTGAAGTCGCTGATTGGGAAACCATTATGCTATATCTTAAGCTCAGTCCTTGCCCAGGACAGCCTGACCAAGAGTTGGGGGGGCAACTGATGATACTTAGAGCAATTCCCAAGTATGAGCTCGGGAGTGGAGGTCAGACGCACAGAGCTCATAAAACTAAAGTAAAACCCAACCTAATTGAAACAACAGCGGAAGTAATAAAGAGATAGCTATTTGTCAACAGAAATGCTAGAGGCAGCAAAGATTCATAATCGAAGCATAAAACTCTCATCTAGGAATGATCTCCTCTTAAGATCAAGGAGGATTCCTAGGATAAATAGCGAAAATCTCGGGGCGGATCCCGCAGAATTAGGAAAAACCCTATAAATGCTATGTAACGCTCCCAACAAAGGGGCAGAACCCTAATATCACATCTTACATTCTATAACCCTTTTGATATAATAAATAGTGAAAGAAGGAGCAAGAATCTCCATTGAAGAGTGGATTAGCCGAGCTCCCGAGCTGCTGAACCACTATATTTATATTGTGTTAATTCCCCAACTCTCCAACAATTCTCAGGATCATTCCCTCGAGTCTAGTAGCTCAGATCCCAATAATTTCAATATTATTTCTTTTATTTACTCGTCATCACAAAATTTCATCACGTTGAAATACACCATCATTTTTCAATTTCACTTTTACCGGTTTTACTTTTCAAAATGGAAAGGTTGTTATCTTGATCGTCTGAACCTTTCGTCAATCAACCTTGTTAGGCTTGAATCTATTTTTGATTCTTGCTTTTCTCTTTTTTCTCATAGTTCTACTTGCCTTCCTCCTCCTAACTTGTATATCAACCACAGTTGTTTCATAGCCAGGAGTGATTCAGAGCGAACTTTGTCTAAAACACCCTCTTTCTTGTATCTGAGGCCAATAAGGTTGACAAGGAATCTGACTTCATATTTGAGATTGCTTCCTAATCTATTACATTCATGGGAGCGAAGCAATTCCAAATTTCTCTCAAAGAGAAAGCTTCAGATGACATTAGGGAGCTCTACTAAATCCCCAACTATGTTCGTCTTCGTCTCCATTCTTCAAAAGAAACTGTCAACTTTACAAATCAATATTTGAGAGTGGGTTTGCTTCCCAATGCCTTAGTACATCGGGAAGTTCTCCACTATCTAAATCTTTCCTCATCTTAGTTAACTCCAAATAGTTGGGAGCTTCTAGTTTGCACTGGCGTTCTCTGGGCGAGAGCTAATGGTACAGATATTTTCCCTACCATAGCATAGCTTTTCCAATGCCATAAGCTTAACCCTGCTCTAGGAAGAACAAATAGTGGTTTTATCTTTGCAAAAAAGAGAAGACCAGCTTCCTTACTGGTTACTCCTCCAATGTGACAAAATGGAAAAATAAATTTTTCTTTGTGTTTGGGTCTGGTTGGGAGTTTGGGCACTCTAAGGCACTTTCTGGTAGACCTCTTATGGTTCCTCACCTATGGAAACCTCCTCCCCCATCTCTTTGTGAGTTATTGCTATTTGGTGCATGTAAAACTGGTCCGCTACCTACTGAACTCAAGCTTTGTGTTGAAAGGGCTCTAGCTTACCACACCAAGAGCCTACCTAACCTAGTTACTGATCAAGCTCTCTTCACGTGCCAGTTAGGTCCTACTCCCAAAGCTGTTGTGCCTTTTACACCTAGCCCTTCACCTCTATGTGCTAAGCTTCCATTTTTTTTCTCCTCTTTTTTATGCGAGTTTTGAATTTTTTAGTTTCTATAGATATGGCCCCCAAATTTGTTGGCAATAAGTTCCTTAGGGAGATAAAAGTGACTAAAGACCCAACCCCTTTAAGTCCAAGACACAAGGCTCTAGCTCTCCTGCTCCTATTGCCACTCGACCGAGCTTTGACATTTCATTTGGAGCTCTCTCAGTCCCACATTTGCTTTTATCTACTCCTTTTGAGCTCTGAAGGGGCTAGATCTAGAGAACTACATCTTTCCAATGTCTGCAAGGAAGAGTCACCTATATCCAAGGTGCCTTTACTGTTGTTTGACTCTCCTCCCAAAGACAAGGGCAAGGGACAGTTGTTAGAGACTGAGGCCGATGGAGAAGAAGATAAATGAGCTTCTGAGGGCCCTAGACCCTCAATGTAGGCGAAAAGAGTCTTTCTTGTAGGAGTTTTGATCATAGTTCTTTAAGCCCGCAAGATACTTAGGAGCTGCTCCACCCATAATCCTTTAGACTATTCAAGCCTGATTTTAATGCTGTTTAGTAGGGTTCGAATGGTTACCTAAGCCTACCCATTTGCTTGCGGGTGACCTAGAGAGGATTGGTGGTTATGAATTCTGAGCTCAACCTTATTGTAATGACCTGGTGTTTGAAGATTGAGAATTGGGACAGAAATGAGTGTACGTGTGCGATTAGGGATCAAAGTCTATAGAGCCGGATCATGAAATACTAGCTTTGATTATGCGTGTTGATGATCTGAAGGTGATTAGGGTGTTAGTTAGGTGTAGGAACATAACTTGTGAAGAGAAAATGAGCCGGGATGCACAATCGGACGAGTTAGTGTAAACAAAAACTGGGTAATTAGGAGTATGGGAGTTGCATTAACGGATCAAATTGGAGCTCAATTTGATGTGAAAAAAATTAATTAATAATTTCCTAGTGCTTGATTTAATGTATGTGTAATTTTGGGGAAAAATATTTTTTAATTAATTTTCAAAATTAGCCAAAGTAGTGAAATTACCAAATTGCCATTGGAAGCATTTCCAATCTTCTAGTTTTGCAAGGTGTCGACCAGAAGATCTCCATGGCTACATGTACTCCACCCAGATGCTTGGGAAACAAGACTCAGTAGTATTGGAGGTTTAAAAGATTAGGAAAATAGTGGAGATGAGAGAGAAAAGAAAGATAAATTTAGAGAGAGAAAGCTAGAGTTGGATTTCAAATCCTTATAATTTCATTTCATGTACTGTAGTTTCTCGTATTTATGTTTTAAATTTTGGGTTTTAGGTTTTTATGAAATAGGTTTTAAGTTTGAGGTCATTTTGATTTAATTGGTTGGCATGGTTGTGTTTCTGGGTGTTCAAGGAGTTGTTTGGTGGGTAGCTGTGGTCGGTGGGGGTGTGGAGTTGAAGGTGAAGTTTCAGCCATGGATGTTTTGATCTCCACAGTTTTTTATGTTTGGGCTTCAAAATGGGGGTTTCCCTAGCCAATTTGGACCTTGGAAATTGGTGTCTTTAAAAATGGATTTGGAGTTCATTTTGAGGGTCAAAAGGGCAATTGCAAGTCTGCCCATAATCTAAAAATCTTATTTTTTTTGTGGATTTTGACCTAATTTTTGAATGGGTTTAAGCTTAATTCGAAGCTTGAAACCTATAGGGTTTGATAACAGTGATGTGAGGAGTGTGTTTAGGTTCAAATATTAAGATGGATGGTGTACTAAGGAGTGAGAAATGGAGGAGAGAAGTAGGGTCGTTGATGCTGAAAGAGGGGAACTAGGGTTTTAGCCAAAGAAGGCAAAGGAAGAAGAAAAAGTAGAGTAAAGGATCATTGGACACCCCAACAGTACCTGAGGGTGCGTCCAGTGTCTGATGGACCTCGGGTTAGTGCTAAAAGTTGCACAACATCTGTGCGGAGGTCCCCATAAAATTTGAGGTTAATCCGATACCCAGATCAATATGTGGTGTAAAATATTTGTTTTTCCCTTCAGGATCGATTTGACCTAGATTTTGGGTGATTTTTGGCAAAAACATTTTATATTCACTTTTAATTAGTTAATTTGAGTATTTTTATAAAATTTTATTGAAAAATAACACAGTTTCATTTTTGGTCATTTCAGATCTAAATACCGCGATAGGTAGCGTTTTGTCAATTCTAGAAGAGGTGATGCTTTTTAAACTTGCTTTTAAATTATTCCATATGTTATTTATGATTGTTTTAACATGTTTTGAAATATATGATTGAGTGTTTTGAATATTGAATTGGATCTGGACTCGAATTAGGATTTTTGAGTGGCAGAGGGTTTACGTTCTAGGTTTAGGTCGTAAAGGGTTTCTCATTGATTTCGTAAATACCTAGGTGGCCTTGTTGGTCTTTGGACTTGGGTACTGAATTGATTTCATGAAGGGAATCTTCCTTGGGTCAAAGTCCCCTAAAAAGTTTATTTGATTGATCTGGATGATCATGTTGACTCTATGTGGTCTAATAGGATGATTGCTCACTGGTGTGGCAGTATACATGATGTTCTGAATTCTCTTTTATAGTAATATTTTGCTCAAGAGATATTGTTCCACATGGAATGCCACTATTTCTCTTATATATGTATCAAATGCTTGTTTTGGTTTTGCCCAATTTTACCAAGCTATGTATTTTCAAACTCGTTTGCCTAACATTGAGTTACTCTACTGAAATGTTGATACTCACCCTACAATATTTTCCTTTTTCAAATTAGTAAGAGGCGGAGGAGTTTGAAAATAGCAAACTTCTTGGACTCTTGAACAATTATCTCTGAGTATGATGAGCATGTACATAGAATAAAAGCAACTTTGGTGTTGATACCGTGTATCTTAGGGTCTACGGAATGTAATAAGATGGTTATATGAAATGTACTGTGGTTATGTATGTAATGAATGCTTTAGATTGTTTAAATGGGTTGGTTCACTATGCTACATTGTATTACTTTAATGTTACTAAAATGTTTCCATGGGATGAGGTAACATATGTTGCATGCTAGGTCGAGTTGGGGTGTGATACTTCTAAACTTTTCATCATTAATCTGTCTACCGTTGCCACTACTTATGACTGCTGGGATGCCAGCCTATAAACAACTGATTTCCACACAAATCATTGGATCTTGTATTCAGTGATTGTTGCTAAGGGCTCTACCTCAGATACTAAATAAAGTAGTCTATTGCAACAATGATAAACATATGCTAACCCTTCCCCATTGGAAAGGGTTCCACGATATCGATTCCCCATTAGGCAAATGATAGGAAAGAGCTAGAAGGGGGGTAACTTTGGGACAACATCATTTTTTTGACATTTTTTGTAACTTCAGGACAAAAATACCCTTGCCTTATCGCTTTTTAGGCCAGGGCATGCCCTTCCAAGTGGTTTCCATAAATTCCTTTGTGCATCTCCTCGAGTACATATGTTGCTTTACTCTGGCTTAAGCACCTCAAGTATGGAAGCGAATATGCTCTCTTGTAGGGCACCTAATTCGTTCTAGAAAAAGAAGATGAAGGAGTATGGGTGCAAAGTATAAGTGATATATATATATATATATTCCATGCCGCCAACCTTACTTCCACGTCATCTGACCAAAAGGAATAAAGTCTTTTACTACAATGATTGATCAAACCCTGAATTTGCTCCCAAAAAAAAAAGAGAATTGGTCAAAATGTTTTGTTAGATATTATGTATTATTCATTGTTGGGATGTAGGAAAAAAAGAACTTTTTTATTTTTTTTAATGGGTGTAATTGTTTTTTAATGTGTGTAACTATTTTGTTAATGAGTGTAACTATTTTTTTAATGGGTATAATTATTTTTTAGTGGGTGTAACTATTTTTTTAATGGGTGTAATTATTTTTTAATCTGTGTAACTATTTTTTTAATGGGTGTAACTGTTTTTTAATGGATGTAACTATTTTTTTAATGAGTGTAACAATCACAGTCTCATGCAATTGTTAAGGCATGATGGTGTAACGATGCCACAATACTAAATGATGCAACTATTTAGTTTATGTAAACAACTGAATTTGAGTTAATGTCATAATTTTGTGTAATTGTTTGATTTATTAGAATGCATGAGTAACTATTTGGTGTATTATATGACAATTGTAACTAATTAGTGTAATTGTGTTGTTGTAATATTAATATAAATAGAGTTAGAGAAAATAGAGAGAGACAAAGAGAGAAATTGTTAGAAAAAATATCCCTATTTTAGCTCTCATTACTTAATTGTAGCCAAAAAAAAAAGGGAAAAAATACAAAAGGGTTTCCATCCATATACTGTTTACCGATGACAATAGTGATATTTTAAAAAAAATATGCATTTTATCTCAAATAAATTTTTGACTTATACTTTTGCCCAAATAAGTTTAAAAAATTGTACCGGCTTCTAAATTTTCCTAAAAAATAAACTTTATAAATCTCAACCATTGAATAAATAGTGAGTTCTAATAAATGTTGTGACCCACAGTAAAATTAATAAATTTAATTATCAAATTTAATTTTTAAATTTATTTTTTAAAGTCCATATAATATTGCTCAACCTTTATATAAGAGCCCGGGCGACGATTTCGGAGAGGGAGAATGGGTGGCGGCCGGAAGTTATCACAGATACAGACATATGTAAGGGTTTATAAATGTCGGGGTATTTGTTAAAAGGGTAAATTATAAGGGGTACACCAAATTAGAATTATTTGGCAAAAGTACACACTAAAAAATGTATGGTTATTAAGTACTTAATTTTGATACTTATTTGTATCAAAGTACATAATTTGAATTTATTTTTTTTTATTGTGACATTTTTGCCCTCCATTAATTCATGTGTATTTAATGCACCACTTTTCTTTAGAAAGTATTGTATTAAACATCTTCTAGTTTTATGGGAAAACTTTAATACATATATATATACATATATACATGAATATAAATTTTGAAATTCAAACAAGTATATATATATATATATATAAGGGAAGGGTTGTTCTGACGAGTCCTCGGCAAGAACTTATGGAGATGGAGCCGTATCAAGTCAAGTTAAGAATTCCTAAAGAAAGACCCCTTGTGCCATCCAGCTCTCCCAACTACAAAGAGAAGACAACCTAGCGTGCTCTAAACCTACAGTCAACTAGGTACTTGCCTCAGTTGTCTCCTGAAAAAAGCGTGCAATCCATAGTAGCTTATTCTCTCTATTTCGACTATTCCGTTCTACTCGGCTTAAGGTTCGGTCCCCCCATCGATCCACCCTTTCTATCTTCAAATTCCGTATCTAATGACATTTAGACATCTCCTTTTGTTGGGAAGTAAGGTACCTCGGCTGTCCAACCTTTATATCTCTTCCTTCTCAAGATAGGCTAACGCGCGACTTATAGCACTTTGAAGCTTGTTGGGTA